AAAATCTATTCAATTTCAAATTGATTTCATAACTGCTTAAAATAATTTGGATTATTCATTTGTACACCTAATATATTTTTGTACTCAAAGGTAGAAATGTAAATAACGCAACTGTATAACAAAACAATTCCAATATTTCGGGAGAAATAATTGTATTTCGGGAGATTATCCCACTTTTTAAATTTCAATATATCAATTTTTGGAACAATACATGTCTATCCAATTTTTCTTTTTTCTTTTTATTCAAATGCTATCGATAAGACATAATAAATATTATTGTGAATAAATTTAACATAGACTTATATAAGAAAAAAAGAGAAATCTCTTTCATTATAATATTGACAGGTGTCATATTCATATTACATTAAAATCAAATTATTTTCTTCTGATTTTAATGAGTTCATGCCTGAAAAGGTTAAAGGTCAAACATTTGCTTTATATTCTTTACAATATGACAGTAACAATTATATATTGTTACTATCGACAAATTTTGATAAACATTGGCAGAATGAAGTCATGAATATGTGACAATAATCATCAAAGTGTTAAACAGAATTGGGAAATAATGATATATTTTATTATTATCAGATACTTTTCTTTACGCTAACGATTTAGTAATAATATTGTATTATTTTACTTTTCCCATTAATAGTAATAATGGTAACATTTATTGAATAATGTTAGTGGGTATAATTGTAAGTTCTTGCATATAGAATCATATGCACGGGATGGGCAATACTTAATCAGGAAAAAGATTTTGAAAATATGATGGAAAGGTAACGGAGATTGTAACCATTCGTTGTCAATGATGTTGTTACTCCTTTTATAAAATCGTTTTTTATATATCGTTACTCCTTTTATAAAAGCTGTAACGATTTAGCGGTAATTATTTTTCGAAATGAATAGTGATAACGATAACGAATTACTTTCCAAACCTTTTTTAACTTCAACTCAAAGATGATACAGGGTCCGTTTTATTGGCTACATAGTGCTTCAAGAACTTCAGACGATCTTAAATATAAAATCAGACTATGAATATCACCCCAAGTAATGCAAACGCTGCTAATTATCGGTTGTGTCTAGAGGAAGAGGAAGCGTAAATACTGCTTTTGCTCTTGGCATATCGTACACTCGTTCGCTCAAACTCACTACGTTTAGCGCAACTTTGAAAACTCTCGCGAACGAAATGCATGCATTATCGATCGCACACTTGTATATAATACATCATGCACATCGCACAATGTCGTGATTAGTTATATTTTTTCTACAGTCTGTAGATTTATATCGTCATGTCGAAGGCGTGGCGCGTTTTATACGTAGTACTAACATAGTACGTAGCGCGAGTACGCGCGTTAGTTGTGCGATTAAATACGTGGTATTTGGTCGGTGTCGCGATAACTAGGGTTGAGAAAGTTACTTTGTAAAAGTATCTAGTTATAGTTATAATTTTTTTCACTGAAAAAGTAATTATAGTAAAACTAATTACAGTTATAAGTTACTGATCTTAAAAAATAACAAGTTATAAATATTAAAAAAGTAATGAGTCGTTACTTTCCAGTTACTTCTTTAATTGTGCTATTATTTTAAATTTCGTAATTGTGTAAATTCCTTCAATTTTATATAAAAATAGTTTGTTGACTATTATACATTCCTCATATTGTATATAATTTTTACAAATTAGATTCATTAATTTAAATAAGCAATTCATATTTATTCTTTTCTATATCAATAACAATTATGACAAAGTGAATGAATTTGATAAAGATAATAAATACTAAAAATACTAAAAGTAATCTTAATAACAAAAATTAGATTTTTTCACTAAAAAATATATTGATATTTTATAAATATAGACTTATATGTTTTCTTGAATTTGCAGTCCAAATTCTACTTGCATGAATAATTTTTTTGCCAGCGCAAATTTTACATAGAAATGCTCAGTTCTTGTTTCCAAATTTTTGCTATAATTTGAATATTTCTGCATATGCTGCAGAATCGTGGCATTTTACAATCCTTCTCCGAAAATTGAGATGTTTTATTTATTGCTTGAATTTTTTATATAACTGAACCCACGCAACGCACTTTACACAGGTTATGTTAACTAACTAAGGTTTATGTTAACAAATAAGAATTGGCGACACGCGATGGAAATGTCCAACAGGCATACAATTTTTTTGAAAGAAATACAGATTGCGTTCGGAGAGGGGAAACTATCAATGCTATTGCATCCTTTTATCCTTATTTTACATCTAATGAACGATAAAGACACGATGAAAAATTTTCATTTACGATCATATATAGTCAGATATAATTATATATAACTTATACAGGATGTCCATTTAAAGATGCATTTAAAAAAAACGCATCTCGATAATTATTCAACGAAGCATTTTCAGCAAAAATGTTTCGGACAAAAGTTGTATGATTTTAAGAGAGACATAAAACAACTATAATATTTTGTTTACAAATGGCACCACTTACGAGATATTCACTGACCATTGCTTTTCTTAAATGGAAACCCCAATTTTTTATTACCTAAAGACTACCGTCTTTTTCAACCAATCAATATAAACAACTCTTGTCTGAAACATGCTTTTATTTGCTTAATATTTTTTTAGATGTTTAAGAAAAACTTGATAATTCTTTTAATATTTAACTCACGATATCTCGCTAACTATTTGTTGGAAGACAAAGTGGTATTAGACTTTTCTGCTCTATTTAATCTCAAGAATATATTGTTATAATAGCGCTCTGACTTTTGTTAACTTATTGACTTTTGGAAATTTCAAAATCATCAAATCTGGGGAAAGGGATGGCGGAATTTCCGCCACCCCTCTCGCTCTCTCTCTCCCTCTCTCCCCCCCCCTCCCGCCCTCTCTCTCTTCCCCACCCTCTTTTTCTCTCTCTTCTCCCGCTCTCTCTCTATCCCGCTCTCTCCCCCCTCTCCCTTTCCCCTCTCTCTCACCCTCCCTCCCCGTCCCCCTCTCTCCCTCTTGCTCTCCTTCTCCTCTTTCTCTCTCTTGCACATTTTCTCTTCCTATTTTTTAACATAATAATACATTCTTCTCTCCCTCTCTCTCTCGTTTACTCGCTGGCATTCGCTGCTATCTGTTTCTTCAGCGCTCTCGTAGTGCCTCTGGTGTCAGACAGTCAGAAAAGCGAGATACACACATATCCCCACTCCTGTGCGCCTTGCGTTTCTTTTTTACTGTATCGAAATTTTCCATGATTCGGACTTTATCTTAATATAACTCTATCCAGAAACAACGTATCCAAAAAACACAAGAACACTTTTCTTCCTACTTTTGGAGCCCGAATCGATTGGGACTAAAAAAACTTGCATCGATTTAGCCATGGTTGAGATATGAATATCTCACCTCGTTTCAACTCGCAGTTTCGCGTAATATAGGCACGGTGTGCCTCGCGCCGTTCAGGCACCACTTCGTTGCGCTTGAACTTGGCGCAAAGCACTACCGTGCTTCTTGATAACAATAACATATCAAGAGGCACGGTGGTGCCTATTACTACGCGAAACTGCGAGTTGAAACGAGGTGAGATATTCATATCTCAGGAATGGCTGAACCGATCGACGTTTTTTTAGTCCCAATCGATTCAGCCTTAAAAAATAGGAAGAAAAGTGTTCTTGTGCTTTTTGCGTTGTCTCTAAGTGGATATATTTTAAGATTAAAGTCTGAATCACAGAAATTACGATTCAGTAAGAAAGTAAGAAAGAAACACTAGACCGCCGAGGAGAGGGGATTTGTGCTTCTCGTTTTTTCGACACCAGTGCTGCGATTCTGTAACTCGTTATTAGAGTTAACGACAGTTTCGTTATTGTTGCGCAGCTTTTCTACGGTATACAAAAGCTGCGCAACGATAACGAAAGTGTCGTTAACTCCAATAACGAGTTACAGAATCGCGGTACAGAGGCGTTATGAGCGCGCTGAAGATGCAAAGAGCAGCGAATGCGAGTGAGCAAGCGATAGAGAATAAGAGAGAGAAGAATAGACCGCCGAGGAGAGGGGATTTGTACTTCTCGTTTTTCCGACACCAGAGGCGTTACGAGCGCGCTGAAGAAGTAAAGAGCAGCGAGTGCGAGTGAGCAAGCGATAGGGAATAAGAGAGAGAAGAATATCGGGTTGGTAGAACAGGAGGTGAAATAAAAATAAAATATTGCTAGTTTATTTATTTTATATATATTATATTATACAGCACGTGAATTTTAGAGTGCGTCCGTTTCACGCATATGCGCGCATTTTTTATAGTATATGTGACATAAACTATAGATAAATGCGCGCATATGCGTGAAACGCACCCCGAGTCGAACACGAGCAACGTGATCGCAACGTTGGTAGTTTACGTCGAGCAATGAGCGACAGCGAAGGTTTGACAATCACGCATTTCGGTTTTGAAGCTTCCTAACCTCAAAGATATCACAATGCTGCGCTCACATTTTCGACTGAAAGTTGACTTGTCCAAGTTTTTTCACGATGTGCGTCGGATCTGCTAAATTTTTATTGATTGATCTCTAAGATATTTGGCATAAGAGAACCATTTCATTTGTTGTTGAACGATGCCGAATATCTGCCACCGATGGAGGATATTCGCATTCTCATCGAAAACGAGACGATCAAGTAAGTATAATTCTTTTAATATAAAGTTTTAAACTTAACTTTTCATATATTTTTAGTTCAAATAGGTTTTATGTGTTTATTCAATAATATTATTTGTATGTCATTAATAGATAGAGTAATCCCTGGATCTGGCATATAGAACAAAGTTTTAAATGCATTAGTTACTGTATATCAGATCCCTGGATCTGGCATATAGAACGAAGTTTTAAATGCATTAATTACTGTATATCAGACTAATAATTACAAAAATTTCTCTAAGGCTAAAGCATGTAACAATATTTCACACGATAAGGTTGTCGAAACAACAGATGTTATGACTGAGAAAATAAGAATAAATGCAAGTAATGGATTGGATATATCTGACGATCCTTTGAATGATACAGATTCAGCTTTGATATGTTAGTATATTTTATTTATATTGCACTAAAACAAATATAATAATCTTTATAATATGATTAATGAATTATATTTATTTTTAGATAATAATACAAGAAATGTTATGTTTACTACTGTAATTGATTATACAGAAGCAGATGCAGATTCAAAGGTTACGGATTAAAGTAATATAAAATAAAGTTGTAATACATTCAAATTACAAAAAACTAATTATATGAAAGAATATTAAGAATAAATAAAAGATAAAAAAAAATATATTTCAATAAGGTTGTCGGCCCCTTCTTCCTCTTCATGCGCTATATCTGGGCAATTTTCCAATTGCTTGTATAACAGATAATATAGTTTGTATCTGCGATATCTGCCACCGATGGAGGATATTCACATTCTCACCGAAAACAAGACGATCAAGTAAATATAATTTTTTTAATATAAAGTTTTATACTTTTAATATATTTTTAGTTGAAATAGGTTTTATGCGTTTATTCATTAATATTATTTGTATGTAATTAACTTACAGTCTTATTCTTATAGAGTAATTCCTGGATCTGGCATACAGAACGAAGTTTTAAACGCATTAGTTACTGTATATCAGATACTAATAATTACAAAAATTTCTCTAAGGCTAAAGCATGTTACAATATTTCACACGATAAGGTTGTCGAAATAGATGTTATGACTGAGAAAATAGGAATAAATGCAAGTAATGGATTGGATATATCTGATCCTTTGAATGATACAGATTCAGCTTTGATATTAGTATATTTTATTTATATTACGCTAAAACAAATTGAATCTTTATAATATAATTAATGAATTGTATTTATTTTTAGATAATAATAAACAAATGTAATATTTACTACTGCAATTGATTATACAGAAGCAGATGCAGATGCAAAGGTTACGGATTATAATATTCACTTATATATTATATATTATTATATAGTATTTACTGTTTTTTGCAGACTTTGAAACTTGTCGATGACTATATACATCAGATATCCAATTTTATTACAGGCGAGGTATTAAGTTCCTGTATAAGATAATGAATCACCCTGTATATATAATCGAAATAAAAGGGCTGTACGAGTGGTTTGAATCACTCTGTATATATAATATGTACATAACATAAGTTTTTACAAGTACAAATGATATCATGTTATAACAATTTTACACGTTTATTAGTAGTATCCAATATTTAATTTATCATTATTTATTATAACACTGAGTTATATGATTGTTTTACTTGTTATTATAATGTACTTAACATAACTTTTTACAAGTAAAAATGATTACATGTAAAATTTATTATAATCTTTTTGAACAAAAAGGTAAAAAAGGCGCCAAGTACAAGCGCAACACATATTGTGCTATTTTTAGAAATTTCAAATTCAAATTATTTTTTTTAATTATTTTTAATTTTTAGTTTAATTTTTAATTTAATTTTTAATTTAATTTTTAATTTAATTATTTTTTTATGTATGTGTATATAACATAAGTTTTTAAAAGTAAAACTTATACAAAAAAAGGGATATATTAAAACAGTAGCGCCAACTGAGAAATCGTATATTTAATATTTTTATAAATCTCAAATTCAAATTATTTCCTTTTTTTAAGATATACAGGGTGATTCAAAACAACCTTCCATTATTAAAAGTATAAAATCCTGATAAAATTCTAAAACAACTTTTCCTCTTGCAAAATTTTGGCAAAAGCTTAGATTTTAAATTATTAAAAAAAGTAGTAGACCTATTGCGGGTCGGGTACAGGAGATAGACAGGTGCGGCGCAACTCACCGTCAGATGTGGGCGCTAACGCGGAGTACCCGCAGCAATCACACATGTGTAGTGTGATCAGCTGATCACACTACACATGTTATACATTAGCTACGTTTCAATATTCATTGCCAGCATAAAAATCTGTATTTTCTGTGACGTAAGGTGATTGTTATAACTGGCAAAAATTTTGAAAAACAGCCAGGATTGTACGCGCACACACATGCAAGCACGTTCTCGGTCTCTCCGAGTCTTTCTGTCTCTTTCTCACTCATTCACTCGTATTCATTGCACGACCAATGCGAAGCGGCGGTCGTGCGTGGTGGGGGATGGACCAATGGACATCCCGCGACGATCGTATAAATGCGTTGGAACAATCGATGTGTTAATCAATAATCCTGCGGTTATTGGAAGCGTTAACGTCAAGACGATATGGCAGCATGCACGAACGAAGAATATTATGACATGCTATTGACACTCGGAGCCTGTCATGGCCAGGTCGCCGCTGCTGCTCGAAGATACGCCGAGCTGTATCCCAACCGAGCAAGACATCCGTCGCACCACATTACAGATACAAAATACAGATTTTTATGCTGGCAATGAATATTGGAACGTAGCTAGTGTATAACATGTGTAGTGTGATCAGCTGATTGCTGCGGGTACTCCGCGTTAGCGCCCACGTCTGACGGTGAGTTGTGCCGCACCTATCTACCTCCCGTACCCGACCCGCAATAGGTCTACTATTTTTGTTAATAATTTAAAATCTAAGCTTTTGCCAAAATTTTGCAAAAGGAAAAGTTGTTTTAGAATTTTATCAGGATTTTATACTTTTAATAATAGAAGGTTGTTTTGAATCACCCTGTACATTATGTACATAACATAAGTTTTTACAAGTACAAATAATATCATATTATAACAATTTTACACGTTTATTAGTAGTGTCCAATATTTAATTTATCATTATTTATTATAACACTGAGTTATATGACTGTTTTACTTATTATTATAATGTACTTAACATTACTTTCTACAAGTAAAAATGATATCGTGTTATAAAATTTTAACACGTTTATTAATAGTGTTCAATATTTAAAAAGATATCTTTTTAAAGGTTATTATTACAAATTCAAATTATCTTTTTTAAGTATATATGTGTATATAACATAAGTTTTTACAAGTAAAACTTATACCAAAAGAAGTGATATTAGAAATCTCAAATTCAAATTATTTCCTTTTTTTAAGATATATATTTATTATGTACATAACATAAGTTTTTACAAGTAAACATTATATCGTGTTATAAAAATTTAACATGTTTATTAATAATATTTGTCCAATATTTTAAAAAGATATCTTTTAAAGGTTATTATTATTCAAGAAAATTCAAGAAAAACTAGCTACAAAAGATGTCAATAACATTAATTTTTACAAAATTTATCATTATTTATTAGAACACTGAGTTATATGATTTTTTTACTTGTTATTATAATAAATTAATTATTATAACGATGCAATAAAAAATATTTAATACAAAAAATCTTGGCGCGGCTGCACCAAAAACTATATCGGACTAAAACTTGTTTAATACATACATGACAGCATTTTTATTATAATAAAATGTACTTGTAAATTTTGTACTTGTAATATTTTATATCTAATTAGACTTTTATGTATATACATCTTCGAAATAGTTTTTGGTGCAGCCGCGCCAAGATTTTTTGTATTAAATATTTTTTATTGCATTGTTATAATAATTAATTTGTTATAATAACAAGTAAAAAAATCATATAACTCAGTGTTCTAATAAATAATGATAAATTAAATATTGGATACTACTAATAAACGTGTAAAATTGTTATAACATGATATCATTTGTACTTGTAAAAACTTATGTTATGTACATATTATGTTCAAAATTATCCCTGATATCGTTGGATATATAATAGATGTCCGTTAAATATTATCCTATACCTTTTTAGAGATTTTGCATAAGATATCTTAATTAGATAATTTTGGATATGTTATGGTTATTGTGCTATATCTCAAAATTGACTGTCAATAATTACTGTGGAAGTGACGAATCATGGGCTCTTTATCTCTTCTGTCACCGATACACACACATGCATGCACACTTGGCCTGAAGGCCAAAAACAACGATATTTTTGAAAGGCTGTAACTTTGCGAAAAAAAATTGTAGCGACTCCATTTTTTTTTTCAAATTGAAGGGGAATATTTGAACTTTATGAAGATACAAACAGCGTCCCCGAAAAAAATTGTCCACGTCCGTGCATTCCGTCAAACTTTGCAATTTTCAGTATACCAAACATGCCCTCAGATGTCAAGGGTTACAGGAGTAGAGGTGCATCACATGCAAAAGATGGAGATACATTCTTAAAGTAGAGACTTCAAGCTTCATTTTGAAAAAAAGTCATTAGTCTACAATAATTTTTCGCGAAGTAATCGCCAGTCAAAGTTGGCCAATTTTCGACAATAAATTATCTATGCCATAATTCTTTTGAGCAGTATATACTGGGTGATCCGAAATTCCCGCATTCGGAATACAGGACATGATACTTTATGCTAAAACAAACAACTTTTTCCTTTAGCAAAATTGCGTCCGACAAGTAATTTTTGCAGAAGAGCGTGTTAAATTTAACGAATAAGCGCTCTTGTCTATATAACACTCAGGGCCGACGCGCGCGCCTCACTCGCGTGTACCTAGTCCGTGATTAGTAATCATAAGTAGTGTCTTTTAAGACGCTCATACGGTTCTCTTGTGATTAGTTTACGACATTTTAAGACTGTGCTTAAGACGATTTTAAATAATAAGAATCAATTATGAACAATACCGGGATTTGACGTGCTTTCGTATTTGTATTGCTTAAATAATGAAAAGTTAATAAAATAAGTACTGCCTTTATTTCTTACGTAATAAATGAATAAAATATTGTCTGGTTACACAATATTATCTGAAAATAAAGACAAATGTAAATAGTATAATATGTTTTGCGAGCTGTGAGCGTTCTATTATTCCAAATATTGCACAATTACGTGATAATTAAATAGTATCATTAAATTTAAAGAATAATTTACTGATCAAGCGTATACATAGGAGTATACATATTTGTAACAGTGATTAAAAGTAAAATATTTGAATTAACGTCTTTTAAGAGCTCTCTTTTTATTTCTTTATAATAGAAAATATAAAAAACTTATTTAAAATTCAAATTGTGTGATATACTCACGTCATGGTCTACATTTATTTATTATTGCTTATGCACGTTAGCCTTTCATTACGTACTTTTCTTACATATTTCGATTATTGCGAGGAATATTGCTATAGCCTCAATGATTTATTTTCTTAACCAACTTGACCATTGAGGCTACAGCAATATTCCTTGCAATAAGCCGAACATGTAAGGAAAATATATATTGAAAGGCTAACGTGCATAAGCAATAATAAGTAAATGTAGACCATGACGTGAGTATATCACACAATTTGAATTTTAAATAAGTTCTTTTTTGTATTTTCTATTATAAAAAAATAAAAAGAGAACTCTTAAAAAACGTTAATTCAAATATATTACTTTTAATCACTGTTACAAATATGTATACTCCTATGTATACGCTTGATTTTTTTTTTTGGTAACGCAGGGGAAATCCATCATGGATACCCCCGACCCTTGGAGGGGTTACGCAAACAGTGGCCAAGCCGGGGCTTCACGCGAAAAAGGTTCTTCTGAGTATCTGGTGGGATTTTAAGGGCGTGGTATATTATGAGCTTTTTCAAC